CATCCAGCCCCACTCTGACTGCTGTCCTGACAAAGCATGTGAACTGTGTATGCAGAACTGTGCTGAAACACCCACCAGGGATGTCTCTAGAGCCCAAATAAAAACAGCTTGTTGCATCCCTCGTTGTGAGGATGTGTAAATTCTCAGTGATTTGTGTCTCTCAGCACAGCAGCCCACAGGCTGCAAAAGCAGTTACAGCTGGAAAAGCAGGGTCACTGCACTTAGAGCCAGGAAGATCAGTTTATTCCAGTTTGCAAGAAGCAGGTTTCTACACCTGTGTTCAGTAAGACTTTGCCAGTGATTCAGCTCATGGCTATCCCAGGCCCTGCTAAGTGGACATGTCTTCTATGGGTAAGGAGGGAGAGACTCTGTACCTTGCACTGAAATTCATGGTGAACACCCAGGGAATGTAGCATTAAGAGAAGAGAAAATGAAACTTCAAGGATGAAACTTCAGTATCTCTCTGTAGTTATATTTACAGGATTGAGAACTAATGCCATGGTGATATTGTATTTTAAGGCTTTATGCCTTTATGTAAATCTTAAGTTATTCTGGGGCTCCAAACACCTTGGCTACTGCAAAGAAAACCTGATCTGAAAGTTGCAGAGCAATGGGGAAAGCTTCTAGAGCTTTCAAGAATCTTGAGATCACTTCTGTTTCCCTCAGTTTCTCCACTTCAAAACCAAACAAATGCCAGTCCCTTTAAGTATCTCAGATTATTACCTATGGCCAACATATGACTGTGCTACCCTTCAGCAAAGAGATCAGACACCAGGTACCTCAGACTATTCTACTCCCTTCAACTCCTGAGCAAATTAAGATGCAAATCCTTCCCATGGTATGTTTCAGCCACCTCCTCTTGAAAATCAGATTCTGCAAAGTCCACCTTGAAAAGAAAACTTGAAAAGAGCCAGCTGGTTTTTAATTTTATTACAAGAAGTCTGCAAAGGCAGCGCTGGGTACCACATTATCCTGTAAAGATGTCAGCTTTTTAGTGACTGCAGCTCTGAAAAGAAGGCAGAAACAATAGAGCTCTGCCTTATATGTACAGTGGCTCTGTGCTGGCGACAGAGACCATTTCCCCAAATGGTCAAAAAATTGAAGCAGCTCCACTGTGGTTTTTGAAAGAGAACTGCTTTAAAGCACACATCCCACTGCCATCCAAAGGAAACAACACTTTCAGTGATACCTACGAGGCTTCTCGGAATCAGCATCAACACGTGGCACCATTTATTTAGTTTATAAGGATATTTTCAGAGGCAGTGTCCTGCCCTGACTTTGCTACAGTGAACTGACAAAACCTTTGTGCCAAACTGTACTTTGTCTTGACACTTAAACATCTCTGCAAGCACTGGCTGCTGGTAATTCAGAGGCACAGTGCAAACATGGAAAGAAGCTCAGGGGCCCTAATCCACTCTCCTGTGATTCCTGCCCACTGCAGAGGCTGAATGCAGCTTCTGCTCCATGCTCCTACCACCAAAAAAGGAGCTGGGAGGAAAAAAGGCAAACACACTGCTCTCTCCAGCATCAGCTACCAGGGTGCTGGCTGGAAAGATGATGGAGCCCATCCTGGCCACAGAAGTGGCACAGAAGGTATGTGCCCTCTGCATATTGAGCCTGAGCTGGTCCTACAGGAGTGTGGACCTAGGTACATGATGCCAAGACTGCCCATCCAGCCCTGAAAGGAGCTGGGAGGAAAAAAGGCAAACACACTGCTCTCTCCAGCATCAGCTACCAGGGTGCTGGCTGGAAAGATGATGGAGCCCATCCTGGCCACAGAAGTGGCACAGAAGGTATGTGCCCTCTGCATATTGAGCCTGAGCTGGTCCTACAGGAGTGTGGACCTAGGTACATGATGCCAAGACTGCCCATCCAGCCCTGAAGGACACCTAGGTACATGATGCCAAGACTGCCCGTCCAGCCCAACATCTAAGGACACACCTGAGGCCCTTTGCCAAACACTCCTGGAGAAATAAGCAGGAAAGTAACTCTTAATTGGGTCCTCTGCCATTATTCCAGTTACTTAACCCCACCCAAGTGTAGCACCAAGAGTTATCCCTTAGGCAAGGGATAAGTGCTGGTAGCTGGCAGCTCTGGCACAGAATTTCCTGCTGCAGTTGTCAAAGGCTACAGTGACTGAAAGATGAAGAGAAGTGAGCATTTCAGAGCCTCATACAGCTTTGCATTAGGGAACTGCAGCTGTATTCTCTTCTGATTGCATGTGTCATTGTGATCACTGCGGAATTTTAACTCCATTAATGCCACCCACTCTATAATGCATGATGCAAAAAATAGCTCTGGTGTCTGCTCATATTTGCAGGTACAAGCTGAAGTAGCCAAGGTGTCAATCTCAAACCGAAGAAACGAGGGCAACCAATCCCACTGCTTGAAGAGCATTTTGTTCTGCCAAAGCCAAGAGCATTGGCTCTAACGCAGCCAAACCGCTCGCTGTCCTGGCCAGACAGATTTCTGGGAGCTTTTGGGAATAGGGAGTGCAGCAGCCAAGCCATAAGGGGCAAGAGAAATCAGAACTGCTGCAATAGGAGGAGGTAAAAGTCATCCTATTGCTTCACTTGGAGCTGAGCAGTTCCTCCATCTCCCTGGAGCGAGGCGGGGAGAGAGCGCTCGGAGCACAGTGCTGAGGAAACAATATCCCATTCTGCACTGGGAGTTATGCAAGAGCCATCCCAGTCACACGGGCAGAGGGGAGCAAAGAAAGGCCATTATTCACAGCCTGACATGGATGAACCCAGTTTAACACATGCACTTGGAAAACACTGTTCGCTCTGTTCGGTAATATTATTTCACATTCCACTCATTTTGATAACCTTTTCCTTCTCCATCTACGCTGTTGACTGCCTGGAAAGTGGAGTAATGCCTTCTCCTGAGATCTGCCAACATGCATAACTAACAGATCTTTTTTTTTCCCCCTTTCAAGATACGACTGAATCTCATTTTGCAATAAATAATTTACTAATACATACAATAAAAAGCTAGAGAAAATTAGATGGGAAACCTCTCTGCTTTACTTGACAGGGAAATAGCACCAGAGTAGGGATTACTTCCCAGAATTTCTCTAACACTCCCATACTGATACACCACCAATACACTTCCATTCTCTCTGACCAGCCTTGGAAAGGGATGTAGAAATAAGGAGTTGCAGTACTCTATTTCTAACAGTAAGCCATGTCTTTATATCCCTTTGACATGGCCTCAGCTTTGGAAAAAATCTAGGGCAAGTCCTAATTTTATCGATGAAACAAGTATTCTAAAATCACTTTATACAGATGAAGCAGAGATGATCCCTCTCCGTTAGAAAAACCCACATGTGGTGTTACATCTTTAACAATCTGTACATGCATTCATCTGTCAAGTGCCCTGGCAAATCCAGAAGGCAACAAAGGATCAAATCTGCATGGTAAATTTGCAACTAAGAGCCAAACAAATTACAAGACCACAGAGGTCTTTTTTTTCCTTTGATATGCAATAGCACTTGGGGAAAATTTTCTGAGCTTGTTTTTCATTTACTGTCCTCATTTCTAACAGCATCCTTGATGCTATCTGCCACACAACCTCTGTGATGCTCAGCATACTAGAAACACATTGAGATCCCACAGATGTAAAGAAAAGTCTATATTTGATAGCTTCACAGAACTGAGCTAACTCAGAATAGAATGAAGAACACCTCTTGAGGAGCAAAACCTACATTTTACAAGGGCTACCTTGGACTAGAAAAGATCTCTTACCTATAATTCAATTTCCTTTCCTGTCTCTGCAACAAAATGTTAGGTATATTTTAAGCTTCAGCATTTTCTTTTTCCATTCTCTTTTGGTTGCCTTTGTGGTTTTTGGTTTTTTTTAAAGAGAAACCCTTTCAAGTGTTCTGGCTATTTTGTGCCTGTCTCAAACTCAGAGAAGACAAAACTGCCCTTACACATTGTAATATGGTGATTCTGATCTACATTAGTGCATCTTTTGAGCTGATGTGTCACACCATGAAGAGAAGCAATTTAAAAACACTTTATCCCCCTCCAGTGCTCCCTTAAGTTACAGGTATGTCATTGGACTTAGATGTTTAAACTTTAAGCATCCCATTTTGAATCAAAATAAAGAGGGAAAATATTTCCAGCCAGACATGCTGAAACAGGACTGGATGTTTAGAATTAAGTGTCAGTTCAAAAGCTTCCCTGAATGGGGCTCCATGTAAAAAAAACCACAAATGACTCTGCAAGCAGCCAGTAACCGAGAAATGAAAATAAAAGCCTTGTGCCATCTGTGACCAGCATGGATTCCAGCACCCTGCACAACATGGAAAGCTGTCCTGCTCTAAACCCAGGACCATGAAAAATAATGCTGGGAACACTTCAGCACAGCCAGTGACATTGGGACATTCTCCAAGTGCAGGAAGTTGGATCACAGAGGCAACAAGTGTGGGCATTGTTGCAGCCTCAGGGAGCCTCACAAGCCTGAGTGTCCCAGAATCTGGGGGGCTAGTGAAAACTGGTTTTGTATTTAGAGCCATGTCAGCAATGTTAAACTCTGGCATCACCTCCTGAACAAACCTGACTATATGTTTAGAATTTTTATGCAAAGGTTTCCGCAGAGATCTCCCAATTCTCAATTAACGTCTGGGCTGTCTCAAGCAAGGTGTTAATCCTCAGTGGGTTTAACCTACCAGTGAAATTAACGTCTGTCTCAAGCAAGGTGTTAATCCTCAGAGGGTTTAACCTACCAGTGAGATTGAGGAACTAAAGCTATCACATCCGTGTTTACAAACAGTCCCTCCACCCCGCAGCTTACCTTTTCCACATCTGCTTTTGTCACGTTAATGTCAGCATCCATTTTCTCGAAATACTGCTGGGCTCGATCAGCCTCTTTGCAGTCGCGCTCATGTCTCAAGCAAGGTGTTAATCCTCAGAGGGTTTAACCTACCAGTGAGATTGAGGAACTAAAGCTATCACATCCGTGTTTACAAACAGTCCCTCCACCCCGCAGCTTACCTTTTCCACATCTGCTTTTGTCACGTTAATGTCAGCATCCATTTTCTCGAAATACTGCTGGGCTCGATCAGCCTCTTTGCAGTCGCGCTCAAACCTCCTTTTGCTCTGCAATGGAGGAACAGAAGCTTTCCTTACAGGAAGGAATCAACACCAAAATCCACCTAAAATCCATGCCTGCTCCTAAACTGATCTCCTGTAACAACTGATGGATATCAGGACTCAGTTGTTTACACTGGAATACATTTTCATATCAAAGAACTTCAAAAAATGAAGTTACCAGAGACATATTTTTTGTTCCATTATTCAAGCTGCTTGATGCTACCAATATCACTTGTGTGTCGACATTTTTCCCCTGTTAGCATCTCTTCTGCTCCTGTAGATGAAATCACTCTCGTCCAACACTTAACTCCTTCGTTTCTATAACGTACAAGGGAGTTACTAATATCCATGTGTTAGCAAGGAGGACTTTGGTTACTGATGGACTCTATCTTATCCTCTCCTGTAATTACTGTCTCACTCTTCATTCATCACATGAACAACAACTCCAATGTAGTTACATTGGGGAAGCAGCACCTCACTCAAGAGATGGTCCCATTCAATTTATTCACACATTATCATAGAATCAACAAGGTTGGAAAAGACCTCCAAGAACATCAAGTCCAACCCTACTGTGGTCACTAGACCATGGCACTAAGTGCCACATCCAGTCTCAGCTTGAAAACCTCCAGGGATGGGGAATCCACCACCTCCCTGGGCAGCACATTCCAATGTCTGATCACTCTGTCCTTAAAAAAATCTCTTCCTAATATCCAACCTAACCCTCCCCTGGCAGACCTTGAGTCTGTGCCCTCTTGTCCTGCTGCTGGTTGCCTGGGAGCAGAGACCAACCCCCACCTGACTCCAACCTCCTCTCAGGGAGTTGCAGAGGGTGATAAGGTCTCCCCTGAGCCTCCTCTTCTCCAGGCTGAACACCCCCAGCTCCCTCAGCCTCTCCTGATTGGAGTTGTGCTCAGTATGAAGCTGTTCAGCTTTCAGTGCAGTATCAGAACAGGACCCTTAGGGACTCTGCAGTTCCAGCAATGCTTAGCACACTTTCCAAGTCATATCAAATGCAATTCTACTCATGATAGACACAGATCTCACAGAAAGCCAAATGTACTACCGTAACAGGCTTTTTCATGTCTACCAGTGTATTTAAGACAGCAAGGTTTAAGAATCCCATTTCTACACCTTTTATCCATACACTCTTTTTTTTCCTCAAATATGATATTTGGAATCATCTCTATGAAAACAATATAAAAACGACTTCAAAATCACATCTGAGTAAGTTGCCACTTACTGCTTCAAGTTGTTTCCAGCAAGTTTCAATATGTTGTTGTGCCTTTCTGCCATCATGGAAATGCTGTTTAGAAAAAAGAGAAAAAGAAAACATTCTGAACAACAAAAGAACAAACAGTCAAGTATGCTCAAGAAAACAAAAACCCAACCAGAAATCATTCTGACAGCTGCGTTCTGCAAGGCTGGCGAATTGAGCAGGTGTATGATGACTATCTAATGTCTCAGCAGGCTGCAGATGGATATTTGCATCAATTATAGTGGTTAGTTCGACTAAGGCTAATTAATCCCTTTAGCAATTCTACCTTGTATTGTTCTCTGTATCTCATAATTACTGGTTTCCCATTTCATGAGATCTGAAGCACTTTTATCTGACGAGTGTTTCTTTGGTGACGGACTGAACACTAGCTCTAAATTAAAATTTCTCTCTACATGAAATTCACCACGATGCCCTTGATTGGCACATTCTAACAACTGGTGTTTGCCCTGATTTTCATTCAGGCTCAACAAAAAACCCTTTTCTTCCTAGCTACTGACTGTGTGTGTGAGGGCAGATGTTCATTCCTCTTAAGAGGTATTCACTTCTGTGGGTCCCTCCAGAAACCTTCCTCTCCCATACATTGGGGGTGAGTGTGTGTGCACACAGCAAGGTGTTACAGTTTTAAATATGATGCACCAACTAAATTACACACAACTTTTCCTGACATGCCTTTTGGAGCAAGGCTCTTAATTGCAGTTGGTTTAAATAACCATTCCTAGCCCTTATATAATGGTCTTCATCAAAGATTCTGTGTCAGGTGTTACCTCCTCTGTCACAGACTGGTTTGGGTTGGAAGAGACCTCAAAGACCAACTCATTCCATTCTGTCATGGGCAGGGACACCTCCCAC